GCTCCTGTACTGGCCGTTCACAAGGATGCTGAAAATGGGTCTTGCGTTTGAAAGTCATGGGGGAAATGGGCAGATGAAGGACAACAGAAGGAGAGAGTGAGATGAAAATTTAACTTAGCTGCAGTGGCATTGCACTTTTACGTGAACAGAAGATGCAAGAGGCCTACATGTCACTTTTGCCAGGAGGTGTTGTGGAAAGGGAGGAAGAAAGGCTGTTTTACTGTAAATACATTAATGAAGCATGGAAATAGTCATCAAATAAGTGACTTGTGTAAACTGTTGCATATAAACACAATAGTCTGGATATGCTACAATACTTGAACATCTTGCTGTATCCTCTGCTTCACAAGCCTCCAGCAAGTTCCAAATTTTTTTTTTCAATCTGCTAGAAAGATCCAATTAAAAATTCTGACATGAACAAATATCCCCATTGAAGCTCTGGAAATCTAAGCTGGAGTGTTTTAAATATCCCAAGAGATGCATTTGAGTTATATTAAATAATGTAGGTTTAAAAAAATGTTAAAAAATCAGTAGCAAATATAGTAGACTTCTCACTGTGAACAAAGTATTTAGAATGGAAAATACAAGGATTTACTAGAAATTCAGAGGGAGAGGAATAGCTAGAAGCAAGTCTTAAGAGAGAGTCCTAAACTTTCTGAACACCAGCAAGCGCTGGGGTACACCATCAAAGCAATAGGGAGAGGTATAGTGCAGTAAGTGAGACTGGAAACATTTTTCTTCCTGCAGTCCAAACATTCCTGGTCACAAAGAAAATCATTTGGACTCTTCCTCACTTTTGAATTCTAAAAATTCTACAAAAGGGTTGGGAGGGTTTATGGAAAAATGCCATCAATTCAAAGCTGCTGGCATGCATAACAAAGCAAAATATTTTTCAGCTTCCCTACATATTTCAGATCATCCAGCTGCTGTAATGCTGCGATGCCTGAACCAAGCAGTGGAGCAATTAAAAGCTACTTGAGAGAGGGAGAATTTCCCAGGAACAGAGATGTCCTACCCTCAGTAACTATTTCCATCCACGCAGGCTGATGCACTAGCAGCTGGGTAGGACACTCCTCGCAGAGGGATTTTAGACGTGCTTATTCCAGCAGAGGTATAACCTAGGACTAACTATATAAAAAACAAAACTAAAAAGAAAACCCCACAGCGAAGATATATCGCAGTGAAGTGCATGCCTGAGAGACAAAAATAAAATCAGGCCTTTTCTCTGAGCTGGGGAGCAGCATTCAGAACCCAGTGAACATAAAAATTCATGAGATTTACAAAACGGAGAACTCTCCTGATGGCTTTGCTAATAGCAAACTGACATTGTTTTATACCTCACTCTGGCTAAATGTCATTAATGCACCAGATGAAAAATCAGATCGTATGGTATAAAATCACTATAGCTCCATCGACCTCAGCTGCTAGAGCAGGAGCCGATATCAAGTTGGTATATTGTAAGGGGGAGCTCTGCACAGGTCCAGAAGGCCTTGATTTCGTACCCTGCAATAAAAGCTGTAAGGGGAGAGGGTTAGCAGTAAAGGGTTATAGGTCTCTCACATCAGATAGTAAGACGATTAGTTTCAGATGTATTAGATTACAGCCTAGCAGGCTGACATCCTGTATCAGCAGTTTTACTGGGTGCCAGCAACTCCTCCACTAAGGCAGTATATGGATGGCTAAAGCAAGACCCTAAATACCTCTGCATCAAACGTCCCCAGCACAAGATGAAGACATTATTTGAAATGTGGTTTATTACTCCTAAATCCACCCCAAGGCACAAAGAGCATTCCACCTACACACGCTATGAAACACAAAGCTTGTCTAGCTGCTGGAAGTGCATCACAGCCAAGGGAAAGACATTTCACCTAGTTTATTTGGAGCTGGAACTAAAACACAGCATTGTCAGACACTGCAGTGCAGAAAAGATCAACAGCATGGTCCAAGACACTCTCGGTGTATGAAGTTTGAAGATAGCTTTTTAGCTAGACCCTGGACTTTTGCCCCCCCCCCCCCCTTTTTTAAAAAACACTTTATTCGTTGCAACAAATACTCTAAAAAGCCTGAAAAATATAGTAAGATAATTAACATGGAACTTTGCAACAGAAGGTGAAGACTGGCAATGCAATGAAGGCAACTGTCTGCGCTGATTTTTGTAGGATAAATGTCTGTACCCCAAGTCCTTGGTCAGCAGCAAGGGGGAAATAAGTGAACATTGATCACTTGGCAGCACTGAAAGAAGCAAAGTCTCAAAGCGCATGCACTGGAATAAAGCACCACACAAGTATTACCACTGGAAAAGCCAGATATTCATGGATCTGTAAGAAGCAGGGACAGACCACAAAGGGCAGACAAAGGAGGGAACAAACAGGAGTAGAAATGTCATTGTAAGGGAACTTCAAGGGAAAACAGAAGTAGAAGCAATTGAAATCCACCTTCAAGTTTCCCATTAGCACTGTGTAGTTGAAATGCGGGGATTGCAGGCAGGACCCATTGAAGCAGGCAGATGTTTTGCACTGCTAGGTACTTTGACAGAAGAGTTCCAGTCCTCTGGGGAGATAAGGTGGAGTGGATAATAACATTTTTACCTTCTGCTGCTATGTCATGTAAAGAAACCTGTCTTGAATGGCAATGTTTGCAGAAAGCTTATCTTTTCCCGTGCTTGAAATGACTACGGGGTCAATCACAAAGCTATTGATGTCTATTAGAGCCAGGAAAGCTATGAAAAGTAGATACAAAGATTAAAAATAGTGAAACCAAAATGTCAGAGGGGAGGAGTTTTTCTTGGGATCATGGGCCAAAGGTTCCCCTGGCTAACTCCCCCGGCACTGGTGGAACAATGCCAGGAAACAACAGGCTCACATCTTTGTCAATACAACTTGTCAATAGGGAGCTGCCTGGCTCAATTTAACTGTTGCTCTTCCCTTGCAGAATTCAAGGAGGCCTTCCTCCTCTTTGACAGGACTGGTGATGCCAAGATCACCCTGAGCCAGGTTGGTGATATCATCCGGGCGCTGGGGCAGAATCCTACAAATGCCGAGATCAACAAGATTCTGGGCAACCCCAGCAAAGAGGGTAAGTGCCCTATAGTCTCTCGTGAGCCTTTCTTCAGGCTGGGGAACTGTAATTACGCAGAAATCAATAGTCACAGCAGGAGGGAGAGGAGCTCTTGCTCTGATTGGGGAGCAAGGAGTGGGGGTGTCTGCAGCAACAATAGATGGAATTTCTCCAGTTCCTTTTGAAGAGGATGATGATGGGGAATACGTTGCTCAGAAAGAGGAAAGCCTGCTCCTTAGGCAATGGAGAATTCTCTGTAGGGATCATTTTTGTGTTAACTTGGCGTAGGTGTAACACACACTCATTGCTGCTCACAGTCCGTCTGTGACTCAGCCCTTGCTGAGGAGCTGTAAGTCCATTTTTAAGAGCTGATACTCAGCTCTTCAGGTCCTTCCAGTGCAGAATATTCTGCATGAGCCAAGACATGCCCTGGGACTGGAAACCCACCTGTATATTTCTGCTGACTGGGGTGGTCTGCTCAAAGCTCCTACAAACCTGGGCATGCTGAGGCATATGTTGGCCATTTATTATAGGTGGCCATTTTCTATTTCCTTTCTCCCCTTTTACAGATAAAAGAAATGGTAAATATTGTAGTCACCTCATTTTAACAAGGACCTAACTGCAGGTGATCCCTGATTTCAGTCATGCAGAACCATATTAAGATGGGCTAAATTATATCCAAACCCTCAGGCCTGGTAAAGGCAGCTCTGAGGACCAATTCAGAAGACCTGAGTTAAGCATTAGCACCAGCAGGAAGCACTGACCAGAGGACTAACACAGAAGTGAGACCATGACAGTACTTTAAGTGACTACAGCAATAATTGACAGTGATTTTTATATAGCTGGGTAGTAAAATAGTTTCTGTAGATAACTGTATATTCAAAAGCCTCTCCCATGTTTCCATCTATTGTATGTCATTGCTGTCCAGATGAAAGATGCTCTTTGCAAAGATCCGGGAGGGTGTGGGCTGGAGGTGCGTAGGAATCCTTTTATTTGGCAGCCTTGCTCCAACAAAAACCATTTGGGGAAGGCCTCGCTGAGGACTACAACTTCTGGCTTATGAGACCAAAGGGGTTAGATGCACTAAGCTTGTGAGTCCTTAAGCCTCTACACTGAATGTGTTAAATAGTAAATTTGGACACCACCCCCACTGGACATTCCTGGTTTTAATTAGTTTATTGTTTTGCTAATAGTCTCTGCTACCACATCCAAGAGACCCTGAAGAGGTCAGTAACATGATGTCAGCAACCTGAGGGGCTTGTCTAAGTTGCAGCATCCCACTCTGGTTACCTTTTCCCACTGCTTGGGGCTCAAGATTTCTGTTTTACTGTATTCTGTAGTTCCCCCACTCCCAAAATCCTTTCAAAGATCAACTCATACAGCAAGTTTCATTTCGGAAAGAAAAATACAACATGCACATAAGCGTATAAAGTTATGTGAGAAGAGGGGTGGAGTAAGGATGTGAAAACTAACTCCCATGATAAGGGAGAATAAGATTCTGCAAAGAAACTGCCAAATCCTGAGGCAAAGACCAGAGTGAAGGATAGAAAGAGGTGTGTAAGTGAGGTGGGAGGCTCTCCCACATTTGAGGGCAAGTATCCCAAAAGAACACACATAGAAGTGTCTAGCATGTAGCAACTAGTGCTTTCTTTCCAGAGATGAATGCCAAGAAAATTACTTTTGAAGAGTTCCTGCCCATGCTGCAAGCAGCTGCTAACAACAAGGAACAGGGTACCTATGAAGACTTTGTTGAAGGTCTGCGTGTCTTTGACAAGGAAGGCAACGGCACAGTTATGGGGGCTGAACTCCGTCATGTACTGGCTACTTTGGGTAAGGGATTATCATCTCTGTAAGCACTTTAAAAATTGCTGCTGTTTGAAGGCATGACAGAGGGAGGAAAGATATTCTAATCAGTTTGGAAAGGTAGGAGGCTACAAAGCTAGACAAGATGCTGGGTTTCCTAACTGGGAATCCACGAGGAAAGTGGACACAAAACACAGTAGAAATCCCAAAGGAAAATGTTTGGTTTATTACTTCTAAATTTGGACTAGGTATTAAGAGTGCCTGTTGTTTGAGGAATAGAGAGAATCATGGAATATCTCTGAGTTGGAAGGGACCCATAAGGATCGAGTCCAACTCCCTGCTCCTCACAGGACTACCTGAAACTAAACCATAAAACTAAGAATATCATCCAGACACACCTTGAACTCTGTCAGGGTTGGTGCTGCGACCACTTTGCCAGGGAGCCTGTTCCAGTGACCAACCACCCTCCCAGTGAAGAACATTTTCCTAATGTCCAGCCTGAACTTCCCCTGATGCAGCTTCATACCATTTCCTCATGTCTTATCACTGGTCACCAGAGAAAGACCAGCACCTCCCTGTCCTCTGCCTTTCTTGAGGAAGTTGTAAAGAATTTTTATAGAAAAGGCTGTATGCCTCAGTGACGTAAAGCATAGGGACAAAGATAGAGGACTTGTTGCATAGTTTCTTCACTCTGTAGGGATAACTAGAATCCCTGTGTCTATATGCATGTGTGAAACTTCTAAAGAAAGTTAAAAGTAATAAAACTCAGTTCAGTTATAGGTCTTTTTGTTACTAACTCAGAAAATAAGGAAAGCCTTTGAAAAAGCTTGTAGGGTTCAGCCTCAGTTGCATGTGTGGAAGAATTAAGCGAGCTCTTTCCACTCTCCAGGTGAGAAGATGACAGAAGAGGAAGTAGACGAACTCATGAAAGGTCAGGAAGACTCCAACGGCTGCATCAACTATGAGGGTAGGTGCAAGGGTTCAACATCCTCTCATCCTACATTTCTTCTCTCTCTTGCAGAGTTTCATTGCGGTTGGCTTTTAGCTTCTCTAGCAAATCAGTTAGACAAAGCTACAGCTGATTTAGGCTGAAAGGCTTATGCATGAAAAGGACAGTTGCAGTATGCTTAGCCTGCAGTCATACTACTCAAAAGACTAGATTCAGCCACAACAGAGAAGGCTACTTCAGTCAATGCCAGTTCTCTAGACTCTCTGACTTTCTGTAGAGCAGTTGCAGTGATTGGAACCAATCCTGCAGCTAATGCTTAGACAAAGTGCTCTACTCATCATATATTTAGTCTTACCACACTTAAGCAGGAAGAGAATTTGGTTTGTACAACATTAAACACTTAGAAATTTCTATCACAATGTTGGGTCAAATCTGATCAGGAATGTGTGTTTTTAATGCTATCAGCTCATGAACAGCTGTTATTTTTAAAGGTATTTCCCAAACTAACTTTTGCTGCTCCTTCTAACTAGCATATCTGTATTTTTCCACAGCATTTGTAAAGCACATCTTGTCTGTCTAAGTGGACTTCCCCAGATACCAAACGGTATGTTCTTCTCATTTGCACACTTAACCTTGTCTGTTTGCTATGCTTAAAGGCTTCTACATGCCCATGGCCAGACATAGGCTACAAAACCAACGTGCCACTATCTCCCCAATGGTACAAATAGAACAAAATGAGACTGTTGTCCAAGAGCAAAGAAAACGGGAGTGCAGATTCCTGGGTCTTGTTCACAGCTCTATAACTGGTTGAAAACTGTGTTTATTAGATTTTTAAAACATACTCAATCTGTGAAAAGAAATGCTCAGTTTATTTATGAGCATGGAAATGCTCAGGATTAACTATCACCCTAGACCTCTGTTGTCATAGAAAATTAGAGTTTAAGCTGTGCAAACTAACAGCCTGAGACATTTATCCTATAAGCATGTTGAGCTTTTCTTTTTTAAAAAAAAGGAAATCAAAGCAACACTTTCTGATAATTTGTAGATTTCTGTAAAGACAGAGTAGCCTGAATACTTGTGTGAATTACTGAGAACAGCTCTTCAAACAAAATAATCATCTGAAAAACAGTATTCTAACAGTTGTGATCAATAGCCAATGAGGGCTTCAAAAGTACCCAATCATTTAGCAGTTCTTCTACAAGTAGCAGAAAAAACCAAGAAAAAAACCCACAACCTTGATATGCTGCTATTTTGTCCAAAGAAAAACCCAGCAGCTGTCTTTAAAATGCAAACATAGAATATCATAGGTCTATGGACTTATTTGAACTGCTAGTTACTCTGGCCCAGGAAAGACACATTCCCAACTCCTGTATGAAACAACAAACACCTCAAAATAGAAATAAAGGGCTCAGGTTTTCATTTTGCAAGTGTTTCTTCAGCCAACGTTGACTTCAAGTCCAACTCTCCCATTCCTTCCCAGAACAAGTCAAATTCAGAAAGACCAGATGGCACTCGAGATTTGCCTGAGATTCTTGCTCTGACTGTCACCATCAACATGGAAACTGCATAGAACTGGATGATGTGCCTCCAATCCCACCACTTTTTACCAGTGCGTCCATAGGTATCACCTCTGGGTCACTACATTTTCATTTAAAAAACCTGAACTTTTACCAAGGCAAGCTAGATGGAATAAACTGTTACCATCCAGGATCCATCCATCACAAGCATCTCTTTCCATGTTGTATTGAAACATTGTAATCTCTTGGAAAACAAAGCAACAATAAATCCCTCTGGTCACTTTGTGGCTATAAAGTCTTTTTTTCCTCTAAAGCTGTTCAATCCCACTCAAAGCAGCACTCAGCACTTAATTTATTTTCTCTGTATATTGTATTTCACAAAATAAAGTTTTATGAAAAAAAAAAAAAAAAAGACATCTCCGGGAGGTCACTCTCCTTAATCTGAATGAAAAGTGTTTTCTTTGGGGACTGGGAGAAGGAGTAATTAGGGAACTACCACCTATATTAGCACTTAAACATTTTTGGGAGAAGGAGGCCTAGTAGCTGGTGTCAGAACAGCTCCCAAGGTGGCAACTGCCCTGGCACACCAGGCAAGACCCAAAACCAGCCAGGGTGGCCCTGCTGTGGGAGGCACGCAGAACCACTCTTCCCAGCAAAATCTCCTCCGTAATGCTGCAACAGCAGGTCCACAACACTGTTAGGAAGGGATCCTAGCTACTGCCTGTATTTATAGCTTTATGGACAACTAGAAAAAGCCATCAGAAATATCAGCCACCCCAAAAGGTTCTGTATCTGGGAACCAGCCCTGGGGCAGTCATTCCCTGGGCCATGGCAAGAGGAGTCCAATTACCTCTTCTGCAATGACAGTGGGAATAGCCATTGCTCAGGGAAGTATTGTTACCTGTACATCCCTGCCCTTAAATGTAGCCCCTCTCTCTTTTCCTTAAGCGTTCATGAAACTGCCTTAATCCCCATCTGAGTGTCAGCTTGTTCTATTAAAATCCAACTTCGCCTTATTAAGTTACTATGCACCAAATGACCATAATTCAAGTGCCAACAGGTGCAGCAGGGCACAGCGGGGGCGACTGGCACCAGAATAAACTACAGCCATTGAAATAGCAGCTGCCTCTTTTCTGAGCCTTCCCAAAAAAAATCTCCCACTTAAACCCTTGCCATGCTTATAGACAGGGCCAAATGAATCTCTGAATTATATTCTGCCCAGAGACTTATGCCAGTAGGTAGTTTACAGGGGTTTGCTGTTGCTATATGCACAACGGGAAAAACCCTTGATTAAAGGAAGGGGTGGGGGAGGAAGGAAGTTGTTAAGTTATTATTTAATCTTATCCTAAAAAGGCAACGAAAAGAGTGTGAGATACATTAAAGCAAGTTATTTATAGGGACTCAGCCTGGAGGGCGTTTCTCAAGGGACTGCTAGATACCCTACTGTTCCTCAACGTACTGCCCATACACACTTGCTCCATGCAGTTCCTTTTTCCAAGAAACTGCGGATCTCAGTTGCTGGGAAAGCAAACAAACAAAAAACAAAACAACACTTCACCATATATGCTGTCAGAATCCTTTTTACATTGCCCTGTCACACTGCATTGACATGTAGGCACAGAACCAGCCTAGTCCAAGGTTGGATGCAACCCTAAAGGAAAAGCTGAAATTTCCATCATATTTTCCTTTCTGAAATTGCAAGTTTTATTAATTTCTAAAATATTTGAGGCCCAAGCCTGGATGACTAACAAAATGGGATGACTCCTCATCAGTGCAGAAGTAGACAGATTTTTAAGCAACCCATTTTTAAAAACTCACATACATATTTTCATTTAAAACAAAATGCCAGATTATGAGACATAACCAGCCTGACAGTATTTCTCTGAATTTTAATTGCAAGGAATCAAGGTAACATTTCCTACACTACTCTCAGTCCTCAAAAATTAAAGCAGAAATAATTTTTACAGACAAAACAGATGAAAACAAAGAGAATACTGCTCTTCCATTAAACTGAGACTGAGTCTCAAAGTATTTCATAGAGCTGCATAGGGAGTGGTTTTTTATGCTATCCAAATGTTTTAGTAATTTCAAAAATTCCCCACCCCAAATTTAGACAGACAAGTATCTGAAAAAAATGTTCATGTTCTTATAAGAGAAAAATATTTTGGGGTAATCTTAAATAATTCAGTCATTCATAAAGAATGGGAAACTCCTTACATACTAGGCTCTTTCAGTTAGTGATAACTTCAACATAAACCAAATTTTTTTGTTATTTACTTTGAAAATATAGAAACAAGATGGTTTGGAAATTTAATTATACGTTGGGTTTTTTTTAATAGAGAAACACACCAAACCCTCTCTTACAGTCAGCTTTAATTTCATCAATAAATCCCATCCAAAAGATACCCAACCCGAAACCACAGTTTGCAAATGCCTAAACAGCTCTGGTGCCTCATCTTTGGTAGAGCAGGGAAACAGCCTACTTTGCCTCAAACCATTTAAAGGTTGAACATGTTTCAACCTACTGCCTCCATACTAGTAACACAAGCATCACTCAGAGCTCTGATCCTGGGGAATGCTCCTCAAAAAAAGCTGCTTCCTCTTATATTTTTTGTACACCTAAGGAAAGAAATACTCCACACAAGAAGTACCACTGCACTCCCGTACAGCACATGATGCACCACGACCAAGCTCCTCCTTTACCCGCAGAGAGAGACTGAAGACCCTGGCAGCTGGGGAAGGCTGCCCTGCATCTGCTCAGGCTCTGAATGGAAAAAGTAATTCTCAGTCCCTGTCATCCGACACCTCTTGCCATCATTACATTTGCTTTGTATTTTAAATAGAACATTGTTAATGAACATACTTTCCATTACTCAATGCAATTGACAGTTTAACTCCTTGGGAGCAGGACTAAATCCCCAGAGAAAGGTCAAGCTGCAAAACACAGCACGAGACAGGGTGACCAGCACTGTGGAACAGGCATCCTACAAAACCAAGGCAGAAAGGTCAGAACGATTGAGGAGAGGTGGTCACCGAGCCCAAGAATGTAATTCTGCTCTTGACACAGGCTGCATTCATTGAGAGTGGGCTACCACCACACGTATGAGCAAAGACACCTCCACAGCTGTCTGTGCCAGGCCAGGGATAGCCAAGAAGCCCCTGCAAGAGGGAGATTCGTATGCACTGGGCAGGATGGATTTCAGAGAGCAGGGAACTGCAAGAGCAGCAGCACCCTTCTGTCTAGCACTGCTCGAGGGTCCAGATCTCGGCTAGGAAAAGGCAGAGACTGCTCTGTACTACTCATGGTGCTTTGCTTTGGATAACCCAGACCCAAATGGGCTTGCACAGACATCCACAGTATCAACACCCACCAAACAGACTGTCAGGCACAGCCTCCTGTCCCCATCGCCCCACTCACATTACAAGTGCTTTCCTCTTGCACGCAGGAGTTGAGTGTCAAAAATATGGACACTGGGCTCTTAAAAGGAACAATTGTTTCTGCACTCCATCAATGTTCTCCCTAGTCTTGGACTAGATTTTAATTTGTTTTAGAAGAATAGTCTCCAGACAGTGGTTGGTGCTGTTCTGTGTGGAGACAGAGACCAGATGGACAGAAAGGGGCATTTATTCAGGGCAGCCAAGCACAGCAGTCAGGCATGCCTGATGTGTCAGGAGTTATTTATTTACTGGTCTTACAGCACCTGAGTGTTGTACACAGCATGCTCCACCCACTGCCCCAAACTCATTTGGGCAAAGGTTGTTCAGACATGTCTCCTCACAACCCTCTCTGTGTAGCTTTCTTTTCTCACTCCCAGGAGCTGCTAGACACTGGTCATTTCTCCCTCCCACCTACGAAGAAACCAAGGAAGCACAACAACAGCTGTGTCACTCTTCTCTAGAGCAATAAGGAACAGAAAGTGTGCTAATTGACCCTAACACTGCAGGAGCCAGCGTATATACTCACTGCCACCTCATAGCATCAGCCCAAGGCTCTGAAGATTTGCCATCTGTTTGGAGACATCTCCAACACTTTTACACAACAGCAATATATGTGATTATTTCCTATTACTGAGGTGCCTGATATCACTATGTAACATGACCTGGGTCCTTCACACAGATCTGCTAGCCCCAATCCTCATGCCATGATGGCAAACCCGAGGAGCAAAAGTTTGGCAGAAGTCCTCTTTCTGGCAGGCAAACTTGGCTACTCACATCACTAAGCCCTCTCGGCCTTCAGATCCATCTTCTCTACATTAGTACTGAGTATTAAAAAGCCACAGTATGTACAACACTCCTGTCTGAACAAACTCCACAAAGGTAACCCCTCCAGTAATATAAACTTGCTTCCACAATGAAATATTTTCCTTTTTCACATAGCTCCCCTCTTATGGTATTTATATCATTATTACAAGAAGAATTGTTCTACTTCAGCAGGTTTTCAACCAAATCTTGAACTTCAAACATGACACATTCAAACAGTCTTCTTCCAAGTACTATCTCATTGTCCCTGCAGTCCTGCTGCAGCTTTAAATCTACACCCTTCTTATGCTGGCGAGGCTGACTTTTACAAGGAAGTGCTCAAATGTGTAATGAAGAAAAGATGCTTCCTTAGTAACCTATTTCTCATTTATTTTATAATGAAAAATGCAATACTTTCTCATTTACCCAGACACTTACATTTACTTCAAAATGAAATCTGAAATGTTGCTGAAAATATAAAATTTCACTCTCACGTCTACCTTCTAGATTAATTGGCACAATACATACCAGACCACAGTTTATTAGAGCATTAAACTGAACTTTCCATTACCAAAATCTATGGTTTGGGAAGACAGTATGGATTAGTTCATAAACATTTCATTTCTCCACCAACGTAGCAATGATGGGTAGCAACACTTCTAAATCAAACTGTTTGTTGTAAAAGAAAGGCTATTGACAATCCTCTGGAAAGGTCTTGCCCTAAGAAATGAATGAAAGAGATTGATAAAAGGAATAAAAATGCACATGTGTTGAAAAAAGCAATAAAAATGCACATGTGTATTTCCTCAGCAGCATGAGAAGTATTTCAAGAGGGATTGTGCATGCTGGTGAAAAGAAACAGTGATGATAATTTGTATTTGCCATTATACTTTTAAACAGACACATTCATTTTTACTGTGTCTCCGTAGTTTACATACATTGTTTATTCCCTTAAGGGTGCACAGTCTTCTGCTGGATGAAGGGCATTTCAGCACAGACAAATGTCACAGGGCGAATTTCAGCCAGCGGCACG